TTGCACTTTCATACATACCTACATGCTACGCTGCGGCAAGTTTTCTTGCACTTTCATATATACGTCATGCTACGCTGCTGCAAGTTCTCTTGCACTTCCCTACATACGTCATGCTACGCTGCTGCAAGTTCTCTTGCACTTTGATATGATATATACGTCATGCTACGCTGCTGCAAGTTCTCTTGCATTTCCATACATACCTACATGCTACGCAAACAAAAGGAATCAAGCACTTGTGAAGAACAAAGAGTGAAGAACAAAGAGTGAAGAAAAAAAGAGTGAAGAAAAAATGAAGGGAACAAAGTGGCCGCCGCTGTGGTTTTGATAGAAATTAAGTAAAAATGGGCGCCCAAATTTTCTAGAAAAAACTCTGACCCCTTCACACGAAACAGTCAAAAAAATGATGGTTTTTGTTGGACGAAAGAAAAGGTCAGAAACATTAACACGACCTATTGAAACGTGGGTTCGATAAACAAGCTGCCGGGAAGTTTGTCAACCTATGTCAGCCTTAATCCATGACGTCCATGGCTGCACATGCAGGAGGAATCCCAGCGGCAAAGCCTTCCGCGTGAAGGTTGCACCTCGGATGCACTGGTAAAATCAGATTGATGCCATAGGAATCTTAGGGGATGCCTTGGAAAATCAGGGAAATGCAAAAGGGGATGTAATGGGATTTTTTTTTCCCGCAGATGCTCCATGGTGCTGGAATATTTACCTACATTTACCCTAAAAATGACCTGTTTCCAGATGTAGTGTAATTCAAATGACCCAGTTTTGTAGGAAAATATTCCATGGAGCATCTGGAAACACTACCTGAATTTGGGTCTGTCTAAAAGGTGAGGTCAGCGTTTATGGTAGGGTTTATGGCAAAAACATCACTTTAGCTGAATGATAGTATAAAACAACAAACAAAACTGGGGATAGGAATATCAGGGGATATTAATAATGGATTTACTGGGGGACGCAACGGAAATATGGACATGAAAAAAAGGGCATATAGTAGGATTATAACCAGCACTATATGAATTCGGGCATGTCTGAAAGCTTTCGAAAAACCTGAGACTCCAGTATGTTATCATATTTTTTACCATTAAAATAGTTGTTTGGGGGTATCTCCCATGTGGAGACACACCCATATATATTGTTGTGAAAACAACAATGAAGCCCACTTTAGAGTGGCATGGTTTCAAAATGTGTGGGGGTAAAACAAAAACAATACCCCCAAAAAAGTGGTTGGGGTATGTTTTTAGTGGCGCTTATCATGTAAAGTCGATGTAAAGTCGTTGGGTTTGGGTAAATTGAGATAAATTGAGGATGCCTCATTACTGGACTGTATACTGCATCAGTTGTTTTAGCCGCGAAACAATATGGATCTGACCAGAATGGGATTGAAAAGACATGATCCAGCAAACATGTTAAGGAGTAGCCGTGCGCAGCCATGAAAAACGGGGGATGTGGCCTCAAGGCAAGACCCTGAGGCTTGCTAGTTATGTTTGTCGGTTCATAAAGCCCACTAACTTAGACATAATATAATATTCTATAATATCTATATAGTTATATACCGTTCCAGTAACCAAAGAAGTGAGTCAACTTAGCTATTTAGATCTACTCTTGAGAGCCTCACCGGCCTCGAGAGCGGGATGGCGAAATGATGGCGCATGATGGGGATGATGGATTTGTCAATCAGTGTTACCCTCTGGTTATGACTAACAGTTCGCCATGGAAAGATCCACCATGCTATTAATAGGTAAACCACCTATTTCTATGGGTTATTTAACATATATAGCCATGGAAAATCACAATTTTTAATAGGTAAACCATCTATAAATGGGTCATCTATACCATGGCGAACTGTTAGTCATAACCAGAGGGTAACACTGATCTTGGTCAAGTCATGGCAAGAAATGGATGGTTTGGCAATTCCGAGGAGAACCACGAGAGTAATCACCATGAATGGGTTGTAGATCTTCCTTTGTACCCTCCGGCAAGATGAATCTGGACGTTTTTCATATGGATGATGGGAATTGTAAGGGGTAACTATTCTAGAATCTTAGTTCAAATTGGTGAATGATTGCTATCGAAATGAATGGAAACAGATTATGTTCATCAAAAAATGATGTATTTGATGTGTATATATATATATATAGATTCATCCAGATGTGCAGATGTGCAGATAGAGTGGATGATCTCCATGGCCCAGCAGCCCGCTTGGTTTAGCACTGTTCATGTGAGCCGTGGCTGCCTTCGACACCCCTGTTGGTTGACTAGTTCCAGGGTTGTGGTACCCAAAATATTAAGGATTCTCGTCATCCAACTGGAAATCCCGTTCTAAACCAACGTTCGTATGTAAAGGAACGATGTTGCGGGTTTTGTTCACACTGCTCAAACATATAGTAACCATACTCACACCATGCAGGAACCGAAGATCTGATTTTTTAATCAACTAGCTGTTACCCCGAGATTTTCAAAAGTCAACTCTGTGACACCCGGAGTTGTTGTTTCGCCTCTACTAATGGCAGAATCTCATGAACTTCAGAGAATTCTTCAATCACTACTCTCTACAGAATTATATAACATAGATCCATGTTAATTTGCTGATTGGTGGTGTCAAACATGATTCTTATTTTCCATAATATATGGGATGTCATCTTTCCCATTGACGAACTCATATTTTTCAAGATGGTTAGTCAACCACCAAATTTTGCTGGAGTTTTTGTTTGGTGAACTTCCAACAAAAGCAAAAAACCAGCCACAGCGGGCCAGGAACCCTTCAAGTTGCACGTGCCCGATTTTTTGTACTGAGCCTGGCTGCTGGGCCTTGCCCCAGCCCCAAAAATGCCCGGAGTTTTGGCGGTGCTGGTGATTATCGATGTTTTTTTCAGGAGAAATCTTCGTTGGGCGAAGATGTTTGTTGTCAAAATTGGAGGAATTCGTGTGTCAACCGCCTTAAACTTGAAAGAACAGCTGTTGTGTGCATGTGTTCCCGCCAACACACTCTGTTGCCATGTGCCGGCTCCACTTTCATCCACAGTTATTTGCGCCATGTGCGGCGCCACCCGAAACCCAGCGCAAGATCAGCTGTGGCGATCAAAAAGACACCAGGGACGATTTTTTGGTATCCAATGGAACTGGGAAAATCTTCAACTTTGAGGGGACATACCCTCTGGTAAACTAACATAGCTATTGAAAATGGCCATAGAAATAGTGGATTTACCCATGCAAAATGGTGATTTTCGATAGCAAACTGTGTGTTTACCAGAGGGTACCTGACATGGAGACTAAAGATCTAAATCCTCAGGGGTTGATGACACCGCGTGATTTGAATGGATCATGAAACTTATGTGGAGAGGGGCAAGTCCATGTTCAAGGCACTTCAAGGCACTCCTTGATGGTATCCCCCGTATTTATTTACTTGTTTTGGGGTCTGATTCATAGCAACATCAGCAAACCAGCAGCTATCACTAGAACACGGTATTGGTAATAAGATATATTAAGTATAACTCCCCAATATAACGATCAATTCGTAGGACAGCAGCAGTGGGTCAGTACAATCCCACCATATTTACTGAAAGAACTTCCCGGTGATTCCATTCAGCAAGGATCATGTTATATAATGTTACATAATTCAAGCCAAAGATGTTAACATATCTGGGATACATCCAGATTTAGCAGGTCAATGGCTTATTTGTTTAACATGTTTTAACCACTTGAACGGAGGCATGTTGCCTTTTTTTCAGGTCCAAAAGTGGCTGTCTCATGGCCAAGTAGGAAAGCAGCTGGCACCAGTGGCTCAACAGATGGTCAACATCAGACGAGAGATACATGCATAGAAAGGCCCAAAAGGATAGACAAGTTGGAAATCTGGAAAATATGGGAAAGGATCATCTATGCCATCCCGGACACTCTCGTTTCAACCTTTTCGAGGTTGCTATACATATATGTACATATAATCATATATAATCATATATAATCATATATAGTCGTATATAATCATATATAGTCATATATAGTCATATATAATCATACAATATATAATCATATATAATAATGTATGATCATATGCAGTCATGTAATCAAATGTAATCATTTCTATATTTTTTGAAATAGAAATATGGCAATCCTGGACCCCAAGGCGTTTCAGGGGTCAGAATATGTTCACCTTGCTGACAGCCTTCGCAACTGGCGACAAGTGGGATTTCCATGGCGACCCATTTGAATGGCGCATGGGTACCACACAAGGTGCAGGATGCATACAAGGTGATGCGCCATAGGAACGTTGCGGTTTTTATACCCTGTAGTTATCCTCTGGTTATGTCAAACATAGCTATGGAAAATGGCCATTGAAATAGTGGATTTACCCATTGAACATATTGATTTTCCATAGCAAACTGTTAGTTTACCAGAGGGTATCTATAGGGTTTATGATGATTATAGTTATCCTTTGGGGAATAAGCCAACAAACATATCCTTTGGGGGCACCTTGTACATATCGAAGCTGCTTGGGACCTGTTTGGAGCAGCTCGGAGCTATGGGAACTGTAGGTACTGTACCCATAATTCCTATGAAATGGAGAGCTAAGGAGCTAAGAGTTTTCAATCACCAATAGATAGTTCTGGTATTGCATTTACCCTCTGGTAAACATACAGAAAACTATGGAAAATCACCATTTTTAATGGGAAAATCCACTATAAATCACCATTTTCAATAGCTATGTTAGTTTACCAGAGGGTAAACTGAGGAAAACCTCAACGGGACAACTAAGGGATGACTTGATCGAAACTGCAAGGTGGAAAAGCACAGATAAAACATTGATTTCCCCTACAGCCACGTTTGTTGAGACGTAATCTGAAGTAATTTTACATCATACGAGCAGTGTCCAAATTCGGTGCTAATTGGTTATTGCGGTGACTTACACATGTTTTTTTTTGGAGGGAAAATGACATGGTCCATTGTGGGAATTCTCTCAACCAACGACTCTAATGGGATGATACAGACTTTGTGGACAAATTACCTGGGTTTGTTTAAGGTGATTTGGCTTATTTTGCCTATTGGAAATCCACCAGAAATGCGGAATCTCGAATCGGACTATGTTTTTTTTTTGAGAGGGCCCCTGAGGCAAATCCAAGACTCGGTCTACCTTTTTGTTGAATCCCAATCTTCGATGATTTCCCATTTTTATGGGTAAAATCACCATTCTTCAGTTGTCGACCCCAGGTTTGTGGGTCAAAGCCCCAATGTTGGCTGGTCAAATCGATGCTGAATTGAGCCCACTTCTGTAACTCGATCTCCGAATAGTATTGGTTGTATCCCATTGTATTCCCATAAAATCATATTAAAAGAATCCATAACTGGTTGATGGTTGGTGGTTTGAAAGATGTTTTTTTTGTCCATTCAGTTGGGAATTTCATCATCCCAACTGACTTTCATATTTTTCAGAGGAGTTGATAAACCACCAACCAGATAAACATGCAATAACATCACATAAGAGTAGCATTTTTGATGTTCCAAATCCTACAGGATGGTACTCCCCCCACTTATGTTTGTTGATCCCCTTTAACTAGTCAGTTCTATCCCCCATAAACTTGTTGGACTTATTAAGTTCGGCAGGATAGAACTATAGCTATAAATGGGATGATGTTATAGATAGAACTATCTAACATCACCTAGTTATTGGACTAAAATAGGCACCAACTTAGTCAGTTTTCCCATCCTATAGTCTGTTGCTGCGAGGTCGACCTTCATCGCCTGTCTTTCCGCCGGGCGGTGACGCAGGTGCACGGTCAATCAAACCAATGGACCCAATGGATTTAGAGGTACCATATGGTACCATTGGCTTTCAGACAAAGTTATATAATATAATAATCCGTGGATTATTGCTGAGTATCCCCATATATAATAGAGGTTTCCATAAATAGGGGATCCCCAAAAATGGTTGGTTTATTTCATGGAAAATCCATTTATAAATGGATGAGAACTAGGGGTACCCCCATTTCAGGAAACCTCCTTGTTTTGGGCAACTATGGGACAAATCATGAGATGAGGTTTTTATATGTTTATATGAATGGGAAATCATGAAACTATGGGTAACTATGGAAGAATATAGGAAACTACGGGAGAAACAATGAAAATCCCCTATAAATGGAGGTTTATAGCTGGGAAAATCATTGAAGTAAATGGATTTTCCAGCACCCCATGTTTGATGGCCGGAGGGTAAGGGAAAATCTTCACCGGAAACAATGTTTTTTTTTCAAAAGCATTTCCGATGATTTCCGGATAAGATTTTAAAACAAAGCAATCCATTTTGGCGGATTTCTCCAACAAGCAAGAGACATTGAAACATCAACAATTGGGTTTGACAAAAGAGCCCAGCTAGGAAAACGAAGATGAAAAATAAGAACAAGAGAATGCCTCTCACAAAAAGAAGAATCGCAAAGTCGAGAACGAGAATAAAGAAGGTTCAGAAACCCAAGAAAGAATCGGTGGGGAAGTACCCTCTGGTAATTTAACATAGCTATTGAAAAGGACCATAGAAATAGTGGAATTACCCATTGAAAACAGTGATTTTCCATAGTTTTTTGTCTGTTTACCAGAGGGTATGTGTCTCGTTTTAAGTGATCAAGATTGGAGAAGACACTTGGGATTTTGACCCCTGCATGGACGATTGGATGCAGAAGACATCCTGAAGCATCGCGCAATGATGAAATTGTTACAAAACAGATGCTATACTCACCTGCTCTTGCGCCCCTTGCTGAATGATGCTGAATGACTCTATGAAGATCTTGTTTGCACAACAGCTTTCTAAGATGTAATCAGCATCTTGAAGACGGATGGCCTAATTCCCTGAGAGCAAATAGGTCAATTTCACTATCTTTGCTTCAAGTGTCCTGTGAGGGGGCTGCTCCGACACGCTAGTTAAATTTCTATGTTGTTCCTTAAAACCATTTAGAACCACATTTTTTCTAGCAGCTACATCACACTTTTTGTTCCTTGTCTCCCCAATGTTGCTTGTTCAATCTCCATTTTCTCTTGACAAATCCCTTTTTTTGATGGTTATGTCACCATGTTCACAATTTCCGATGGCAAGATCAAGAGTTTGCTGCCTAAACTCCTCATGGTTGTTGTTTAACCCTCATGTTGATCCTAAAACCGCTTAAAGCCCATTTTGTTGATGATTAAACCAACTTACCAACTTCAAGTAGGGAAATTCAGTTTTTGTGAGGGTTTTGCAGATGTTTATCTCCCAATGTCAGTTAATATCCAATGCTTGATATTTCAGAAATCTCATGTTTGATGAAATCATATGAAATCCCTAATGCAGTAGAAGGATCCCCCAAGTTGTTGGACAAATTACCAAATCTCCCCATGGCATCACCGCCAGGCTGTGTCCCGTCCGGCTCCTGTGACGTTGGCGCAGGCAGCCTCTTTTTTTTGGCAAATCTGGGAGAAAACACGGGGAAAGATGGTGGTTTTCTGGTTGGTGGTTTTGAAGATTTTTTATTTTTCCATTCAGTTGGGAATTTCATCATCCCAACTGACGAATTCCATCATTTTTCACCGGGGTAGGTTGAAACCACCAAGCAGTTTTACAACGGTTTACATGAGTTTGTATGATTTTATCGTAATTTGGATTCAATGTTGCGAAACTTGAGGATTTAAGTCCCAAAAAAATCTCAAGTACTTCCAGGATGGTTCCAGGATGATGCTTTCTCGGGAATATCCAGCTGTTCAACAGTTCAATCTTTTTGGGGGGGTTGCTATAGCTGGAAGTCTTCATTTTGTCACTGGAAAAACACGTCATGATGATTATGGATATGAACGGATAAAGAAATATGGTTGACCTCTTCATCAACAATGGCAATTTTCACTGGGTTGCTCCAACCTATGATACGTAAGTGAAAGCCATAATATGATATGATATGATATGATAGGGAAATGTTGGGAATGAAGATATTTGTTGTTAAAAAAATGCATCCTGGCTCTGGATGTCAATCTATGTACCTGCGTGCAATTTTCTTCCAATTGGGATGTCAACCATTTGACGAGGGTGGCTCACTAACTGAGCATAGGCAGCATAAGTTAAATTTGAGGGCCCAAGAATTGTTGCTTATCATCAAGGTTCATCCTCCAAAATCATCAAGGTGGTTAAAAAATGTTAAAAACCCAGTGCCAGAAACCATCCGCAGAGGTTTGCTACTGGGTATACTGATGTACATGGTGCACCATACCCCTATTTGGGATGATGCCACATCCCAGAAATGCTTTGATCTGCCATGAGTTGACAGAAACATCCTTTTATCAAATGGTTGTATCAGCTCACTATATACCCTCTGGTAAACATACAAAAAACTATGGAACATCACCATGTTGAATGGCTAAATCCACTATTTCTATGGCCATGTTCAATAGCAATGTTAGTTTACCAGAGGGTATGAAGTATCAACGTAAAATGGTTGATTAACCCACCCTTCTGCTGGTAACTGTCCGAAACTCTGATAAAATCTCGATGTTTGCCACATCTCCCATTGTATTCCATGTCTATCATCACATGATAATATCCACGGGATATCATATTTCCATTTTTTTAATGGTGAAAATCTCCAATGTTCCCAAGATCGTACCAGGTTTAGCCCCATTATACCATATTATACCCATCATTTCAAGAAGTAAACAGCCCCAGCTTAGCTTCCCTGCGCTGCGCTCGGTGCGCTGCTCCAGGGAAGGAGATGGTCACAGTCGCAACAAATGCCCCGTTGGGCTGCTGCTGTGTCAGCCATGGTCCTTGACTTAGTGCCAGGAGATCTTCGAAATACCGGGAAAATGCTGGAAAATCAGGGTTAACTCGATGAAATATATGGATTGTTGATGGTTATTCATGGTTATTGATGGGAATAACTATGGGAAATAACTATTAACCTTGGAGGTGCAGTCGGGGTTATTAATAAGCAAAACTATGGGATTTAAGCCTCCAAAACTGGGTATATAATTGGAGATGGGGGTGTCTGACAAAATGGTACCCCCAAATTTGCTGGTTAAGAAAATGATTTCCTTACTAAAATATGTTTGTTTTGGGGCATACCCAAGTTTCTGACACATCCAGGTCTTCTGTTGGTTATCGGATACGCACAATTCACTGGAGTTCAAGGGAAACAAAAATCGCCGGAAACCATGGTTTTCCCCATCAAATATAGCGTTTTCTGAGTTTTCTAGCATGTGTGTGTTACCTTAAGCCTTAAACCAAGCCAATGAACAATAAATAAGCAATTGACAGGAATAATAAGGATATGGGTATGGGTCAATACCTATTAATACCATTTTTAGGGGGATGAACATCCATTTACCAGCTACTTTGATGTTCACCAGGGTTACAAGGTTTTGACACACTGCCATATAATGGGAATACAATAGGATACAATGGGATGTACTGGAATGTAATGGGATGCATCACTCGCATGACCAACAATACGATGTTTTGGATGGGCGGATGGGTTTGGTTTACAGGAACTCATAGGGTGGCTTTGGGCCTATTCTTAAAGGTGTTTCTAATTGGGTCTGTCCCTGCACTTCCCCAGTAAAATCCAATAAACAAAAGTAACTAAAACCCATGCTGGAAATGTACAGGTCGATTTTCCCTTAAACCAATCACAGGCTTCAGTTTGTCCCTTCAGAGGAAGTAACATTGTCAACAACGGAGATTGGCGACAAGGTGAGATCTAGGTTGGTTTATAGCTAGTATAACTAGGATTTATGGTAATATATCTGGGTAAATTTCATCGCGACCTCACTGTTCTCCCTCACTGGAAATCATGGTTTATAAGGGGAATCATCCCCAAATGGCCCAACTATTCAGGTTGGTGAAATATTATAATTTACCCAGATATATGGTAATTATGACTTTAGTAAATGTGTGACTCTGTCTGAAAATGGTGTACACATCCAAATGGCCAGTTTCATATAGGGACGATGATAATCCGATGGGAATTGGTAGCCTATTTTCAGAGAAACTGGAGGGCCTCACCCGGAAATGAGAAGGACACACTTGGATGTTCCAACAGGAGTATGACTTACAAACTGGGATGCAAATTACCCTCTGGTAAACTAACAGTTTGCTATTGAACATGGCCATTTATACTGAGTTTTCCCATTAAACATGGTGATTTTCCATAGTTATGTTAGTTTACCAGAGGGTAAAGATCACCAAAACAAAGAGATGCAGGAAGCATCATCATTGTCAACAAATTCTAGTGGATGTAGTGATATACAGGATGGGGCTCCATAGTTAGCTACGTTTGTTTATAACTATAATAACACTCGTGTATGATTCCTTTGATTATATTTCGACTCGATTATAAACCAACTTACGAGTCGGGGGCTCCATCCTGTAGCCACTGCTGGAGAGCTGGTTCAGCGGCTTGATTCTGTCGGAAACATCTATGCTGCCTCGCGATTTGACAAGACCCGGCTATTTCTTTGGGGCCAATTTCTACAGGGAGTTGCGTTTTTTCATTTTTTTTGGACGGCCCCCCAAACTATGAGATTGACATAAACGAAAACAATCCCAGATGCTCCATGGTGCTGGTATATTTATATACAAAACTAGGTCATTTTGGGGTATTATATAAATGTAGGTAACTATACCAGCACCATGGAGCATCTCGGAATATTACTTCACAATCCAAGGACTCATCTTTGTTTTACATCTTTCTGGACGGATTCTCTACACGCCGGTGATCCCGACAGTTGTCGGACGTTCGGTGCTATCTGATTTTTCAGATAGCGAAAATCACCATTTCTTAGGAAAATTGTCGGAAAAAAATGGGCAAGATATTTCTGGGTAAATTTCATCACGACCTCACTGTTCTCCCTCACTGGAATCATGGTTAATAAGGGGAATCATCCCCAAATGGCCCAACTATTCAGGTTGGTGAAATATTATAATTTACCCAGATATTTCCGTAAGTTGTGTTTCAAATGGCCAACCAACCAACAGATCCGACAGGATTAGACAGCTATTTCCATTCGCAGCTGCGGCATGGCACAAAAATGAACCAAAAAGCCGGGGCACGCCTCATTTTGTTGGCCAAGTTGTTTTTCTTTAATGTAGTATTTTCACTGGGGCTTATGGTATATAGTGGTATATACTATACTACATATGATAACAAATATTATCAAATCTATAGTATATGGGCTTTCGAAACAAAGCACCATCTGGTAATTTGACAGAGCGCTGATGGGTTAATGTGTGCATGTCATCATGTCCTTGTTTCTGCAAATGTGAAGTTCCCATGTTATTCTTGTGTAAGTCTTCAATAATCTATCATTTTGGGTTGGTTGCATCTGTATGTTGCAAAAGAGCTGCAAAAGAACAGACAAGTTATTGGTAGATCCAGTTCTATCCCCATGTCCAATATACGAACTGACCCACTGTGCAAGCTCTGGCAAGAGGATGCTGTCATCCACAGTAACAGAAGGTTAGAGCCTTTTAGCAAGGAGACGTTTTTGTTTGTATATCTTTATAATTACTGTACTTCCATGCTTCCTGATGGCAACCATCAAGGGCCAAACATCGCGTTACGGCGGAGGGTTGCCAAGGCAGAGGAGTTTAAGCCAAGGCTTGTGTTCAGAAGCTCCCTTCACTGGCAGACTTTGAGCCTTTGATACTGTGGATGGAAGAAATCCTGCACCAGTTGATATATGGTTTATTTTTTCAGGGATTCAACCATCCTTTTGGTGGTGCAGGATTTCTTCCATCCACGGTATGATTGGAAGCGGATGAGAGATGTCGCCCGGTGAGGATGCAGGATTGTTTATTTGTGTCCAGGGCATGCCCTTTTTCAAATTACAGTATATTTATATTATATTCAGAAAAAAATGGAAAATATTTTTAGATATTATATGATCTTTATATTGATATTAATTATATTGATACCTAAATTTTCAAATTTTAAATTACAGTATTGGTTCCTTCTATTCAGAATAAATTTAGATGTATACCTGTCACCTTACCTCGGGGAAGAGCGTGTGTGGTAGGTGCAATTGAGACATTGCACCCACGAAAACCGTGTGAAATCCATTTCTATCCATGTCTAATCACCATCTGGTTATTTAACATAGCCATGGAATAGATGGCCCTTAGAAATAGATGGTTTAATAGCATGGTGATTTTCCATGGCGAACTGTTAAATAACCAGATGGTAATCCAAAATTGTTTTCATTTGAAATCCATGTCTGCTTTGCCACGAGCCACACGCCCAGGCAGCCGCAGCCACACGACAGCTGACGAGCGCAGGTGCTGGGGAAATGGCGGTTTCTGAAAAAATGGTGGATCCCCAATAGCTGGATGGAGAAGAATGGAAAATTCATGAAAATCTCAAACAAAAATGGATGATGACTGGGAGTACCCCATTTTGTTATGAAACCTCCAAGTGTTCTTTTTTGGGAATTATGAACATCACTTTCAAGTACCTCTTGGAGACAATGATAATTGTTCCAATAGTTGGCTGATGTTCAATTTGGATCATTTATAGGACATTTACCAAGCCCTGGGATAGGTAAGTTGGTTTAGGATGTTTAGGTAAGTTGGTCTAGGCTCGGAATTGTGGTGGAATAGACCCAACTTTGATTTTCAATCAAAATGCGCGAATCTAACCAACACAAATGGCACGATAGTGATGTTTTTTTTGAACCAGGACAACAGGAGGTGGAATTTTGCAAAAATTGGGATTTAACGTGATCTAACCAGTGAAAATGGTGATTCACGGTGATTCTCTGGGATTTCAATAAAGTGATTGACTGGGGATATAATATTGGGAAATATAGATAGATTAGATTCATGGTTTCAAGCATGTTGTTGGTTTTCAATATTGTTTTGATGTTCAACTGTAGAAATGGTATGATAATCCCATCATCCCAACCACACTTTTTTCTTGGAATTCGTCGAAGGGATGATGTCGTCCAATCACCTCTGTTTTCTCCAACATTTGTGGGGCAAAATGGCAACGAAGTAGCATTCCCATATGCTCCATGTATGCTATATTTACCTACAAAACTGGGTGATTTTCAGGGCAAATGTTGGTGTGCATATTCCAGCACCATGGAGCATATGGGATTTGTACCTTCTTCAAAATGTTGCCTTCCGGGATCTAGCCTCAAAGCGCCGCTGCGGGCACTTGCCTATAACGTGTTTGCTTCTTACCAAGACTGGGCCCATCAATACGGACTAGATAGACGTCGGGGAATTGCTCATCATTGGCAAAGGAACTGTCCCTATCGCGGCATGGGAGCTCACTACGGGCGTCGAGAACATCGAGGAGCATGGGGGTACAGCAGAAATGAGCAGGGCGACCAATGGCAGTCAGGCTGGTACGCAGACCAGTGGCTGTATCGTGACAGTTGGCGTCAATGGAATTACGGGTATGAAGACCGTAGGTGGGGCCAAGGCCAACAGTCGTCAGGTTATCGACTCAGGAGACTTGCCACCGAAGAGAATAATCAATTTGAGGATTCTTGGTGCCGAACATCCTAGAGCCGAGGAGTGGGACACGTACTACCGGTCGTTGGACCACAACAACCTAGACCTAAGGGCAAGGCCGCAGCCACAGCACCTAATTGGCAGCCGTCTTGAAGGAGCCTTGACCACCACAGCCTGCCTCGACTGGACCAAAGGTTTCTATTTCAGTTCGAAAGGTCTCACAACCTAAGTCAGGTGATTAATCCGACTATGTTTGACGTTGAGGCTCCATGGCTCCATCCCCAAGTTGCATCAAATCATGTTTTTTGACTTGTAGCTTTCTTACAATGACTTGTAGCGCAAAAAAAACGGCATTTTTTTAGCTAGTTACTTTTTCCCAGAAGAAACGAATGCAGTTGTCAAATTTGAACAAATGATATTCTCGAGTCTGAGCATGTGATAGTTCCAAATCTGAATGCCTTGGGGCCCGATATGGATTTTTTGGTTGGGACTTCGGCCAGAGTTGCCCGGTCTTGAACCCGATTCTTTGCATTTTTGGTTGGTTACCAGTAGTACCGCACAAGGCGGTGGCGGAAGTTTCAAAAATAGGAAACCTATAGGAGAGATTGGTTGTTGTGAATCACGGATGGCAGAGCGAATCCACTGATGGACCGAAAGGTGGTTGGAGCTGTGTTTTTTGGAGTGGCTGCAATGGTTGCAGTGGTCACCTGGTCGGTCACCTCACCCACAACTGCTGGATGTAGCGTGGTGTAGCGCAGCTGTAGTTGAAGTTGTAGCGTAGTGGAGTTGTAGTTATGGTGTAGTGTAATTAGCGTCCTGTAGTTGCAGTTGCATTTATGGTGGTGTGACAGTGATCAGTGTATTGTAACGTAATGTAATGTAATGTATTGCAATGTGGGGTAGTGTAGTGTAGTGTAGTGTAATTGAGAATAGTGTGGTGTGGTGTAGTGTAGCGTAGTGTAGTGTAATGCAAGTAGTGTAGTGTAGTGTGGTGTGGTGTGGTGTAGTGTAGTGTAGTGTAGTGTAGTGACAGTGTAATTGGGTGTAGTGTACTGTAGTCTAGTGGAATGTAGTGTAGTGTAATGTAGTGTAGTGGAGTGGGGTGTAGTGTAGTGCAGTGCAGTGTAGTGTAATGTAATCGGTGTAGTGTAGTGTAGTGTAGCATAGCATAGCGTAGTGTAGTGTAGTGTAGTGTAATGCGAGTAGTGTAGTGTAGTGCAGTGTAGTGTAGTGCAGTGCAGTGTAGTGTAGTTGTAGTTGTAGTTGCAGTTGTAGTTGTAATTGTAGTTAGTGTTGTAGTTAGTGTTGTAGTTAGTGTTGTAGTTAGTGTGATGTAGTGTAATGTAGTGTAATGTAGTGTAATGTAGTGTGGGGTAGTGTAGTGTCATTAGTGTAATGTAATGTAACGCAGTTGCAGTTGCAGTTGTAGTTGTAGGTGTAGTGCAGTGTCATTCAGTGTAGTGTAGTGGAGTGTAGTGTATTGTAGTGTAGTGTAATTAGTGTAGTGTAAATGTAGTAGTATTGTTGTTGTTGTTGTTGTTGTTGTCGTTGTTGTTGTTGTTGTAGTTGTAGTAGTGTAGTGTATTGGAGTGTAGTGTGGTGTAGTGGTGGTTGTAGTTGAAAATGATACAAAACCCTCACGTTTTGCTCACTTTTAACAAGGTGCACAATCCCTTGCCCCTGCCACGCGAAACGGCATCTCAACGTCCAAAAGTGGTCCGAACCCCTGGTGCTTTTAACATTTTGACTTCGAAATGTGCTTTGCGCCACAATGGCGTGCACTTTTTCCACATCGCAACTCTTAAAAGTGCCCCGAAGCTGAGGTGTTTTGTACATTTTGACTTCAAAATGTGCTTCGCGCCACAACGGCGTGCATTTTTTCAACATCTCAACTTCCAAAAGTGGTCCGAGAATGGTGTGTTTTGTACATTTTGACTTGGAAATGTGCTTCGTGCCACAACGGCGTGCAATTTTTCATCTCTCATCTGGCCAGATGGCTCCGCACCCGCCGCTTTAGCGAGCCTACTTTTCGACCCTCCGGAGCCACAAATCATTGGAAAAACACAGTGCTTCGCGACTTTCCTACCTTTTCGCGCACCTGCATCTTCTTTCTTCTGACTCTTTCTCTTCTCTGACCTTCTCTCTTCTACTCTTCTCTTCTCTCTGGCTCTTCGCATCTCTGCTTTTCATCTGTCCATATTGTCGGAAGTTTGACTTCTAAACTTCCTACGACTTTGAAATACGATATTCTTCTGTGCATTTTTTGTTGGTTACTAATGGTTACTATACTGACTGGTGGTTTGGAACATTTTTTATTTTCCATAATATATGGGATGTCATCCTTCCCATTGACGAACTCATATTTTTCAAGATGGTTAAAACCGCTCACCAGCTATAAATCTATAGTATGTCTTGTGATGTCTTGTGTTTTTCGCGGAAATGCACGTGGCTGCAGTGGCTTGCAGGGCAATCTGAGGAAGACTCGATTTCCAGGACTGGGGGATGGCCTGAAATTGGAGATCTAGCCTGGAAACATTAGGGGTATGAAGCATAAAACTTGCAAGAATGCGGAAAGAATGGGATATAATGATGTATTAATGATGTGTTAGTGATGTATTAATGATGTATTAATGATATTTTCATGATGGATTAATGATAAATTAATGATGTATTAATGATGTATTAATTTATGATGTTTTGACGAACAATTTTTGCACCGGTTTATAATATGTATGTATATGTGTAAATTCGAGTTTATGGTTATGTGTTTTTAACCAAGTTAGTTGAACACATTTGGGGACAAGATATTTAGTAGAAACAGCGCCGTTGTATGACTTTATGATTGAACAATCTGAAAAACCTTTAAACATGGACGATTCAAAGCAATCATTTTTGGGGAATAACCCGAACATTCGGGCATCTTAATACACCATAAATCCCTTACTTGGGGTACCCGATTTTGATCCATTCCCACGACATGGGAGCCGATCAAAACACTAACAAAAAAATATACACAAACGCATCGCCGTTTATGTTTCAGAATTCCCATATTTGTTTGCTGGTTAAAAGTTTCATCAATGTCATAAATGATACTTAAATCCCATGAAATCACCATTTTCATATCCTTGGGCCCTTCATTTCTGCAGTGTGGTTTTTGTTTTTTCGGCACCGGACGGCGGAGCTGGGATGGCGAGTTTCATGATGAACATGCGCCATATTTTGAAATGGTATCTGGTAAACATACAAAAATATGGAAATCACCTGTTTTAATGGGTTAAACAACTATGTCTATGCGCCATAGCACTCAATAGCTATGTAACAAATTACCAGCGGGTAAGGGAAGTAACATGCTCAGAGTGTGGAAGATATTCTTTTTGATCGGCCATGACTAGTCAGTTGCATGTCATTTTTGGGAGAAAAACCGAGGAATCAATCGTCGGAAATCGACGGTTTATGGCAGTCACAGAGACATACCAATCAGACCAGCACAAGACCCTCAGAATCAATCACAATGAAATAAACACCATATCAACACATGAATGGTCCAAAAGCGTACGGTAGATGTCCTCTTCCCACTGGTAGGGTCGTTAACAGTGAGGTAACCTCATACAACGAATTTGGGTAAGTGATGGTAAATGGTACAACCCCCTTTGTTCCTGGTCAAACCTCTAATTTACCCACAGGAAGAGTCCCATTCATCATCATCATCATCATCATCAGATTCCCATAGTTCCCCCAATATGGTTCAATTCGTCTTGGGGGAAACGACAGATGTGGAAAACACACCATGTGTAGATCATGTTCCTAGGAAAACCAATGTAAACGTTTACCCTAGGGTAAGATATGGACATAGTCGGGCCTCCCCCCTACCTGCACCATCCTCTGATTTTTTGTTGATGCCTCCAGGAAACAACTCACCAGTTTCTTGCTGGGCCGCCCAGTTTGCCACTGGAAAGTTCGGGGTTTAGCAACCCACAGAAAGATAAGCAACAATGAGACATGGTCATTTTGTGGTAGAAAACAGGTGTTCTTTTTACTCTGGGGTTTAGGAAGGAACTTGAAACCATTGTTTTCAACCAAGATGAGGGTTTTATCAGTACTAAGTGGGATCTATGTAGCAAACATGTGGATGCGTATCCAGAAAACAATGGAGAAGCCAGTGATCGATCTGTGTCAGGATCACTTACACGCCCATAAAATTGATGGGATTGGCAAGGCAGACTGCATCTTTGGTTGGTGGTTTGGAACATTTTTTATTTTCCATTCATTTGGGAATAATCATCCCATTTGACTTTCATATTTTTCATTTTTCAGGGGTAGGTATACCACCAACGATCTATTCATGTCCAGTGTTCTGAAGACACCTCATGGCAGGCCAAGTAACTGCTCAAATGACGGGAACTGCCATGACGGGTGGAACTATTGACACTAGCCCAGCTAAAAACTTGGAAACATTGAACATATATACATGTATACACAATTATACACATAAATTAATGTTGATTCATAATATACATGTCTATATATAATACCATATATACACATATATATGTATGTATGCATATATATATAATATGCACACGCATGATGTAATCATCGTTGACTAAAACCCAGGTACCTTTCTGGCATCAGTCGACATCCCGAAGCCAAGGAGCATCTTGGGTCAGTCTGCTGCGGTGGGCTTGCTGGCCGCTTCAGCATTCTGCAACTCGGCGTCCTCGGCGGTGGTGCCTCCAAGGGATGTTTGTGTTATAGCAACCATCAACCATTTACCACTATAAATTTCCATTTTCAATAGCAATGTTAGTTCACCAGAGGGTATGAAGTATCAATGTAAAGTGGTTGATTAACCCACTCTTCTGCTGGTAACTGTTAAAATAGTCGGTTTACCCACTGAAAATGGTGCTTTTCCATAGCTATGTAAACGTTTACCAGAGGCTAGCCATCATGACTATGGTGATGTTGGTGGTTTGGAACATGAATGGATTATGACTTTCCATTCAGTTGGGAATTTCGTCATCCCAACTGACGAGCATATTTTTCAGAGGGATTGAAACCACCAACCAGTATTCATTGCTGTCATATCTTATCGTAAACATTGATAAACCATAGTTACACTGAGAGTCTCATTTATTTCAATTAATAAACTATGGTTAGTAATGGTTTTAAACTATCGTTAGTACCTTGGTCAGTACAATTAAGGTACCTTGATAGTCATTCTTAACTATGTTATTTATTACTAATATTATTACTTCTTATTGGTACCTGATAGTCATTCTCAACTAATTCAACCATAGTACTACTGTTTACCATAGTTATTCATACTATAAACCATAGTTATACTACTTCTCAACTATTTCATCAAGATAACTATGGTTATAAACTTGATGGTTCACCAAGTAATCATGGTCATAGCTATAGCAATTCTTATGATTATAAACATCTATAACCTTACAGCTAAAGTATTTCATGAAGTAATTCATATGAAATCATGTACATATATAATCATATACTATTTCTATGTTTCATTCATGAACCACATATATATGTATATATACACATTATAAACATTCATAAACCATGGTTCATTTTTCATAGGTTAATTTAATCGAGTAGTGGACTTCAAGGTTCAACGAGCCGAACCTGAAGGCACGAATTTTCAGTGCCTGTATTGTTTACTGTACTAAGATGCCTGTATAGATATACTCCCAAGGTGACACCCAAACAATACATGTGCTAATTAAGGGTATATAAACAGCACCAAGATGTGCTAATATCTAATAACCACATCAGCATATCTCAATATGACTTTTATCCTGAGGTTAGATGTTCTGGATACATAGCTAATTATGGTTCACTTTAGGCTGCACGCACATAGAAGCCCGCTGTGGTTTCTGTGGCGTAGCATGACGTATGTGTGCAAGTGCAAGAGAAGATCCCACAGCGTAGCATGACGTATTTTCAAGTTGACATGAACGTTATTATCCCCACCCCACCCCCACCCCAAATATTTTTCCTATGCGCACCATACAACCCATGTGTGTTCAAGTTGACATGAACTTTTTTACCCCCACCCCACCCCACACCAACCCCACCCCAAATGACCCAGATGCATATTCTATTGCGGGTTTCTACGTGCGTGCATGGTTTTAGTGGCTTTCTCCTTAGGTTTGTCGTTTTCTCGTTTTTTGTGCGGTGGGCCGGTTCCACCTAAGCCAATTCCATCGGACCCCGTGTACTAGGTGTAAATTCGCAGCAACATTCAGAAATATAAAAACATGTCTTAATTTGATTAAATCGTATGATAAATCATTATAGAACGCACTATAAGTAAACAATCACTAGTATTTCAGAGACGGTCATCTTTAGTGGTTTAATCGACGCTTGATCAATGTCCACCGTGGCTTCCGCAGGAGGGGATCGACGAGATGCGCAGCAAGCATGCGTGTGAACTTGAGAGGCTGAAGGCCGACTAGCATATGTATTGTTCAGTGAAAGCGGAGGATGAACAATGATAGAAATGTAAAGTCACCTGGCCAAGTATAGATAATCACCTAGGTCTGGACATCACTGAAATGGAGATATTGGCAACTTGAAAAGTGGAGTCTAGAGTCTAGAGTCTAGAGTCCAGAGTCTAGAGCAGACTCCGCCGCAGACTGCCTATGCTGACGAAGTGAAGAACACAGATGCTGCGCACAAGACAGCTTTGTAGGAGGTGGCTGGGGGTGTTGTTCTGTGCCGCTGCCGATGATCAGCAAGACAAGATGAAAGAGTGCTTTTTGAGTATGCCACAGATTCAAGATTTTGTTGCAAATTGTTGCAAACTTTGAGGCTCATGTTTTGTACCCGTGATGGGGCCAAATTTCTCACCATGGCTGTGAAATTACAACCCAACCTCTGAGGTTCGATCAGAAATCTGCCAAAGTTGCGGCAGAGAGGCCATCCTTTTGGTTGCAGATCTAGACTTTCAGCTGCCTGAAAGTGTCACCGATCAACCTGGCGCGATGTTTTTTGTTTTTATGGGTAAATACCTGTTGTGCCAAAACTGCAAGATATGGTTGATACAATGGTCGTTGAATCAACGTGGTTATGTCTGTATGGTCATCCACTTTGGAGTCTTAACAGGGAAGCCATGATCACCACACTGCGAGATTTTGACGGCAGCCCATCGACTGTAAGGCATGCAACTGAGACTGCTTCCCTCAACAATGCCTTGGACTCGGAGCGTGCGCAGCTGGAGTCCCTCCGACGAGAGGCGCGCAGCTAGCAAAATAAAAGACCTATATTTCAACAAACAGCCCTGGTAGGAAAAGACGGAATGGAACACACAAATGCCACAAAACAGTGATCTTGATTTCATGCCACGCAAAAATGCTGTGTAACACCACATGCTGATCACGAATTCTTTCGGAGCAGAAATCAGGGTGGTTGGCTTGAGGTGCAGCCGCCATACGTCCGTGGCGGACAAATTGGCGCCGGCTCCTACGCCGCCGTGTATGCCGGCACCATGGGCAACACTGCTGTTGCGATCAAAAAGGGCCCCACTCTTCAAGGAAGCCTCCCTGCAAGGACATTGGACATCATTTGCATGACATTCCATGGCTTCATGCATTTTCATGACATTTCAGCCCGCCAGTTTCGATGCAATTGACTTAATGAATTTAACCGTTTAACATATTTTCATTGTTTTCAGCAATTCCATTGTGACTCCACATTCGTTTTCAGTATTCACAAGTCTCAGACCAGGACTCTGCGTCTAACCCTTTAATGTTGGATCTTGTTTTGTGCAATTGTTTCATCCTACTTGTACAGATTCTCCTTCTCGCTACAGTTCTCCTCCTAGATACACAGAGTCTAGGACTTTGACTCTGAGTTCAATTTTATAAAGATGCATCTGATAAAGCCACATCCCAGAGTGACGCCAAGTCACTCTCTCAGAGTCAAAGGCTCAAGGGATTTCCAGTCTCCTGCCCAAGAGGCACTGCAGCATTGTAACTGAAACTGTCCTCTCTCTGGTGATTGTTTTTTTCACATCTTGCTTTCTATTCATTCTTATTTTGCAACTTGTTTCTTCATTGGCTGACGGAATGCTGCTGCAGACGTGTAGTTCAACATGAGCTGCGAGACGATGGTGAAAAAGAATAAACATGCATGTCGTGTCGTGCAGTGCAAACAAAACACCTCCTGTGTCGCGAGTGTTTAGTGACTTTGTGCGTGGATACCAGGATGCAAATGGTTTTCTTTTGCGCCTTCAAGTCTGCGGCTGCTGGCCGGCGCCCCAAGAATAAGCCTCGCACTGGAAAGGGGCTTGTTGCTTGCCTGCATTAAATGCTCATGCTATGATTTAGTTGTATTCAGTAGGGTGGTTTGAGTAGAGTGCTTTGAGTAAAATGTTTTGAGGTCTTTTGGATAATCAGCTGAACTTGGTACAGCAGCAGCTGGCAGACTCGTGAGACTTTTGTCGATATACAGAAGCTCCTCTCTTTGGCCTTTGGCAACGAAAAATACGGCCTCTCAGACCGATCCAACCGAGGAAGTGCAGTCCTCAAAAGTCAGCATCTGCACGCTCGTTCAAGAAAACAGGTTGTTTCATTCAAAGGGGCCTGTGGCACGCCACTCTTGGCGCTTTCAGCTTTAAAACTTGCTGTTCTCCTTTGCTGCGCAGGGTTTTTTCAATATATTTTCCGTTGGTTCAGAAAGTTTGTCATATCTTAATATCTTATAGTCCTTTGTTAGTCTGGATTTGTTGGGTGCTTATCTTTGCGCTCTTTGTCATTTAAAGATTAAAGGACCGGATAACACCACATGTCAACTTCTTCCAAAAAACAGCCAAAGAAAGGTGAAGATGGGATGGGAAAGGCAGGAAAGAGAAAAGAGATGGTGGAGGGTCGGTTGTGTGTGAGCAAGTTGTGTGTGAGTAAGTTGTGTGTGAGTAAGTTGTGTGTGAGCTAGGCGTGTGTGTGAACAAGCTGTGTGTGAGCAAGTTGTGTGTGGACAAGTTGGGTGTGAGGGAGGCGGCGGGTGGAGGAGGCAGGCGGGAGTGCACAACCAAAAACAAGAACCCCACACAAAGATGTGGGGAACAAAATCCTGTCTCTACCGCATATTGAACTTGCATGTTCCTTATCCGATGTACAATGAGGTGTCTCACAAGACTTGTTGCATGAGTTTGTTATAGTAGTGTTGGCACGGTGGAGCTTCAAACTAACAGAGGCTCAAACCGCTGCAGGAAGGTTGCGTCAACTATTGGTGCTTGCTCCTGGCGCTTGCATTCAATTTAGCTTTGCTTCGATAGCGTCCTCGCGCACCGCGCTTTGAATGGCACGGCTGAGGAGCCACGGTTTTGTAATTTGTGGAAGGCTTTCCCAGAAGGCATCTGGATCGATTCTGTGCCTTGGCTGTGCTTTTTTTGCCTGTGTGACACCCTTTCTTGCTAAACCTTCCGGGCTGGTAGCATGCTCACTGAGCTGCAGGGCTCAACCGATCCACAAGCACTGCACTTGACAGCTTTGCTTCAAAGGACGGGCTGTCCGAGACTGCTGCTAGACAAAGGAGGCAAAGGCCCAGAAGGATCTGGAGGCGGACGCTCTCGTAGACGAGGCCGAATTAGAAAGTATGCGGAGAGCGGAGCTCGAGAGTTACTTCGAGCATTTCTTTTGCCGTGCGTCTTCTTGGCCGATGTGCTGTAATTATCGGTGTAGAGCGGTGCCGGCTCGACCCTGGCATGAGTTGCTACAGTCTTGAGGCCAGGAGCCTCCTCCGCCTCCAGTTCATCCTCATCATCTTCTTCGAAGGACTGAGGCGAGTCTCTTGACACTCCAGTTGTGGGCGAGACATGTTCAAAACATAACACGATGTGGCTCTTCTTGGAGGTTCCTTATTTGACATGAACGTGATTATCCCCACCCCACCCCCACCCCAACCCCACCCCAAATGACCCAGATGCATATTTTATTCCTATGCGCACCATACAACCCATGTGTGTTCAAGTTGACATGAACTCTTTTACCCCCACCCCACCCCAACCCCAACCCAAATGACTCAGATGCATATTCTATTGCGGGTTTCTACGTGCGTGCATGGTTTTAGTGAAGGTTAGTAGGAGTTACTGTACCCTCTGGTAAATTAACATAGACCTTGCAAGATAGGGGTTAGTTCACATTCGTTTCCACTCAGAATTTTTTTTTCAGGGTCCAACAGTTAATTTACCAGTGGGTAAATAGCATAAGCGAAGGCTAAGAAGCCATCCTTTCTTCAGCATCTTTCCTTGGGGTGCACCATTTGGACGGATGTAATGGTTGACCGAACGGTTCGTGAATTTCGTTTATCCTGGTGAGCTGATGAAGTGCCAAGGTCTTGGTGGCGGCTAGTAGCAATGGATATCTGGTTGGTTGTTTGGTTATACAATGTCATACAATATGTTTATATGGTTTTCTGGGGAAAATAATGGGAGAATAACAATCTGGTTGGTGGTTTGGAAGATGAATTTTATATTTGCATATACTGGGAATTTCATCATCCTAACTGACGAAGTCATATTTTTCAGAGGGTAGGTATACCACCAACCAGAAATTGATGATAATAATGATGGGTCGGTAGCTATTATATTGATTTACAATCGCTAAGAAAATTTGTTATCAGTCACTATAGCAGTACTAATTCATGATAACAAATATGGGTAGCTACTTCAATATAAAAACTGGGCATGGAAACTCATCTCAGCAGCTCATTAGTCAATGGGTTGGTGCTGATATGCTGGATTTTGGGTCGATTAAACCCGATCATCGAAGGAAGTTTAGAAGTCAAACTTCCGACCATATGGACAGATGAAAAGCAGAGATGGGAAGAGGCAGAGAGAAGAGAAGAGTAGAAGAGAGCAAATCAGAGAAGAGAAAGAGTCAGAAGAAAGAAGGTGCAGATGCGCGAAAAGGTAGGAGAGTCGCGAAACGCGGTGTTTTTTCAATGATTTGTGGCTCCGGAGGGTCGAAAAGTAGGCTCGCTAAAGCGGCGGGTGCGGAGCCAGCTGGCCAGACGAGAGATGAAAAATTGCACGCCGTTGTGGCGCGAAGCACATTTCGAAGTGAAAATGTACAAAACACACCATTCTCGGACAACTTTTGGCAGTCAATCCATATAGTTCAACTGGCCAAGCATGGGGTTGCCTTCCGATTTGCGGGACAAAATCAACGAGCTCATTGACCAGACGGCGGGTGGCCAAATCGTGGCATTGTCTCAGAAGCTGATGAACATCCTGACAGTTGCAGGGTATGTCCGACACCAGGTGCTCTTGCCTGATCAAGTCACTGTCCATCCAAGCAACAGAGATGGTGTCGGGCTGCTTGTGACCGATGTTCATGACTTAGTGGAAGATATCGTAGAAACGGGCTGGTCCGACTGTGTTTCCAATTTAAAGAATCCATCGCGAAGGCTCCTTCATTGGAAGAAAAGCTAGCTTCAACCTTGCAGTACAGACAAC